ACCGCACCGGGAGCCTGAACCGGGAGCCTGAACCGGGAACCGCTCCGGGAATGCACCGGGACGGGACCGGGAGCCGCTCCGGGAGCCTGAACCGGGAACCGCTCCGGGAATGCACCGGGAGCCGCTCCGGGAGCCTGAACCGGGAACCGCACCGGGAACTGCACTGGGAGCCTGAACCGGGAACCGCTGTGGGAACGCACTGGGAACCGCTCCGGGACCGCACCGGCAGCCTGAACCGGGAGCCTGAACCGGGAACCGCTCCGGGAATGCACCGGGACGGGACCGGGAGCCGCTCCGGGAGCCTGAACCGGGAACCGCTCCGGGAATGCACCGGGAGCCGCTCCGGGAGCCTGAACCGGGAACCGCACCGGGAACTGCACTGGGAGCCTGAACCGGGAACCGCTGTGGGAACGCACTGGGAACCGCTCCGGGACCGCACCGGCAGCCTGAACCGGGAGCCTGAACCGGGAACCGCTCCAGGAGCCTGAACCGGGAGCCCGAACCGGGAACCACACTGGGAATGCACTGGGAGCCTGAAACGGGAACTGTACCGGGAGCCTGAACTGGGAGCCTGAACTGGGAATGGCTCTGGGAACCGCACTGGGACCCCGCACTGGGGTCCTGAACTGGGATCCTGTACTGGGATCCTGCACCGGGAACCTGAACTGGGATCCTGTACTGGGATCCTGCACCGGGAACCTGAACTGGGATCCTGCACCAGGAACCTGAACTGGGATCCTACACTGGGATCCCAAACTGGGAACCTGCCCTGGGATCCTGCAATGGGAACACACACTGGGATCCTGCACTGGGATCCTGCAACAGGAACCCGCACTGGGATCCTGTACTGTGATCCTGCACCGGGATCCTGAACTGGGATCCTGAACTGGGATCCTGCAATGGGATCCTGCAATGGGAACACACAGAGGGATCCTGAACTGGGATCCTGAACTGGGAACCCACACTGCGATCCTGCCCTGGGATCCTGCCCCAGAATCCTTTACTGGGATCTTGTACTGGGATCCTACCCCAGGATCCTGCACTAGGATCCTGAACAGGGATCCTGCCCGGGGACCCTCCGGGGACCACCCCGGGACCCCCAGCGGGACCCTCCCCCACGCCCCTGCACCGGGACCCCCCAGCACCCCACACCCAGCGCCCCCCTGCCGGGATCCTCCCCAGGCCCCCCCAGCACCCCAGAGGAGCCGGGGGGTCCCAGGCAGGACCGGGATCCGGTCTGGATCTGGGGCGGGG